ACGGAGTGGTGAACTCGTTTGCACCTTGGTTCTCGATTGGCAGTGTTTATTTCGCAGGTTCGGGTATACCCCCTGCGAACGCTACGATTTGAGGTGTGTTGTTTATGTAATTGTAACACTTAACATTTACAGTACCGCATACTTATTCGCTACTGTTGGAGTCGAATACACCTCTAGAACACTTGGACTTGGCTTCTGAGGTTGTGCGTCACCCAACGTTGGTCTGGATAGTCATTTGGATTTAACAATGTTGATGTGAAGAAAAGTACCATGAAATTTTTCAAACCAGTCACTGAAGAAATGGAGGGACGACCCTTATGCTCTAGAATGCTATTCTTCACGTGAAGCTAAGTATNCAGTTCCATTCCCGTCAAAATTAATTAGTAGCTTGTTGCGATTTGAATGTGTAAGATAACGACCCCTATACGTGAACACACGTTCCGATTTCATAATAATTCACCTTGAACTTTAGCGCGGTGGCTTTAGTTGTTATGTATGAACACAAGAATACTCGAGCTAATACCAACTGCTAGCGTTATGACACCAGCACTGTTGGGTTCTGAATACTGAATAAATATTTAACCGTCGATCGTATCTCCATGGTGCAGGCAGTCATTTCACCAAACAAATATGTGCGTACCAGAGATCAAGAATGATAGTCTTACTTCCTTGCCAGGATATTCCCTGATAACTTTTTTGAGCTCTTGCTTAGAAAATGCAAATTGATATTGAATCACCTCCGGTCGCACACCAGCATCCAACGCTGTCTGGACGCCTTCAAAAAATGTCTAAAAGGAAGAGCACATCACGTAGCGTAATTAAAGCATTTCACCGGGACCAGATGAAATGCAGAACCTGGCTACACATCATGATGACACGAAAAATGGCAATACTATGGGACGACAAAACAACGTTCAGCATGATACATGAGGGGTAAAGCATTTGGTTATTAAAGGTAAGTGATCGCTGGTCAATAACCAGATTTGGGCTGCTGTTTCGTCCTTGTCCGAGCTCACTAGCATTGGGTACTACATCTGTATCCAGGACGGGACTCGGGATGTGACTGACACTTGATGCTGGACTGGAGTGACCCTTAGAACCTATTACACTTTTATGGTCTACAAACATTACTCATCTCTTATCTGTAGCTTCAAGAAATTGAGGCAAGCATAAGCGGTCACAACTCTGTAAACCGTCGGACAGGCGGGCTAAACTATGTTGATTTTGAGTCTAGTTCTTCAATGCACAAATCCGATGACGTAGCATTTATATGGGAGAGTTTTGGTTGCTGTCGACTGAATGCCAACCAACAGGGTGGAGTAAATGGAAGAGTTTAAAGCAAGGAATCCAAACAAAATAAAGACAGAGAAAGCAAATGATCTAGATCTGAGCAGAAAATGAGATATACAGGTACTGTTGTGTTCTCATCACCTTTAGTCTTTTTCCGTTTATTACCAACTTGAGTAACTATCGTAATCCGAGAACCCCATCTCGTGACATGCGTAACGCACATTGCAGTCTCTGCAAGGTAGTCAAACCCTAGTGTCAGGATGCGACCACAAGTACCCGAAGCTCAACATCGGTAGTGCTTTTCTGTTTATCTCAACAGACTAGAGAAAGGATTGCCTGAAAGTCCAGTTTGAGAGAAACAGAAATAAAAACACTGACGAGACGGCGAACGGCAAAAAGATAGCTTTTCTATCATGCGCGGATAAATTCTAATGAATGGTTCAAAGGGGTACCAAGGATCCATTCAAACAACGGGTGTCCATGAGCCCATAAGCTGCATCCACATCTCTCGAATGGCGGTAACGTCTTAGGTTGTCGCTGGCATCTATGCTCAAACACACCACCTTGTTGCAGGTCATTGTGGACATCTCTCTTTTTAATGAAGCTCGAACAGCGCTGTAAACATCGTTGAAGTTCTTGTTTGCAAAAATAAACTTGATTGGTTATGCCGTCAAATTACAAAAGACGAGTTACGGAGAATGGAATACGACCTCACAGACAGGAGTGATCAACCAACACTTACTGCAAGCTTCTCCAATGGCCGACCCATGGAGTTCTTCGTGTATTCCTGAAGGGCTCGATTGTAGCGACGTTTGACTTCTTGAAGATAATCATCCAAGGGTGGCATCTTAAGACGNTATATCACACAAACGATGATAGTTCTCTGCAACGGAAGCGATGGGGAAATCAAGAATATTCCCTGACAAAATGCGGGGGTAATACACGGAACAATACGCAAATAAGAATGACGAAATATGTCACAGGTAAACCTTCTGATAGAATCCGATCTGCGTTCAAAACACAACGCAATGGCTACACAAATTAACCAGAAAGCCTTTTTCCGAAAATTACATTAAGTTACTCACGAGTAGTTAAAATGCTCCAGTAAAAAATGAAACATGGGTACGCGCAGGTAATTTTTCGGCAGTATCGGTCGGTAGAGAAATAATGTGGGAATGTGCTTCATTCAAGGATTCGCCTCTATCTAATCCATCACTATCATGATGTGATGTGCTTTCTATCTGACGCACGGATAAAAAATATGATCATTCGACAGCTGGCACAGTAAAAAAACCATAATATCTGATGGGCACCCCCAACATTACCGAAATTTGAGTCACGGATCGAGTTTATTCCAGGTTGATGTGGTTCGGTTCACAGATCTGAGAAGCGACCATTATCCCCCCCCTTCCCCCAAGAGTGCCATTAAGCTTTCGATGACTGAAGTTTGATTGCTTCACGTGCGTTTGGTGGAACAATCACATAGTTGCTCAGAGGATGAGGCATAAGATACTATTTGCTGTTGTGGTCGGGTCCTGACAACGAAGCTATATCCTTTCCAAATGAGTCATTAGATGTTCTGCCAAATAAACGCCTGTTTGCAAGCTAGTACCAGTGGACTTGGTTGAAGATTACTGGTTGCGTGCAATCTGTAAACAGAGATACAACCAGATGAAACGGCCAGGAATGGTTTTAGGCTGCACTCCTGCATTTCCTTATGTAAATCGCGTGAATAACGATGAAGTCAGACGAAGGGTTCTAGGATTAGATAGTCTTCCTTTGAGCAAAATAATTTCCTAGCATCGTCTTAGGTGGCTAAGGCACGTCCTACGAATGCCTGAGCAACGTCTGCCACACCGTGCACTATTCGCAGACATCGGTCCAAGCTGGAAGAACCGGCGAAGTGGACAGGCTATGACGTGGCGCAGAGGGTTAAAGAGACGGTGCTCGGATCTGGCTTCCATTGGGGCTTCCTTGCTGGGGCCCCAAAGATTCAGATTGGAGACAGTGCGGGATATGGTGTCGAACCGAAGTCAGTGGCGCGAATGTATCTTCTCCTGTGTGCAAGAATAAGCAAAGACAAAAAACTCAAAACTGCGTGCAGTTAACAAACAAAAAACTTGTTATTCCCTAAAGTTGACTGTTTTGTTTTCCCCACTTCTGTACCCATATTTTTTGTTAACCCATGGTTATTTTTTGGCGCCGTATTGGTGTAATATATATATATATTACACCAATACGGCGCCAAAGATTTAAGTTAGAATATTTTCAATAATTTGCTTATTTACTGTGCACTGAATATAAGAATTAGAATACATGGGCTCAACTTAATAAAAATTGCCATGGAACAGGAATCATTTGTTAGAAAGAACGAACCCTCATGCTGTTTCGCTTAAAATATTTTCCAAGTCTGGGCTGTAATTTTCGAACTACTACAAATTTTATCGCAACGCTCAAGGTCACGCTAATTCAAACGGTGAAAGAAGAGAATTAAGAACAGATGTGGGAGATAAAATCAGGAATAAATACACTTTACCCATGACCATCAATATACAAGTATGATATTGGAGACTGAAATGTATTTCCAAAATGAGATTCACGCTGCACGAGTTTGATATAGTCGTCTTCACAAGCATACACCTTGATTGCACTGTGTCAATATTCCCTAATGATCCAGTTTTCCAAACGAACGGAAACAAGGTTAGCTGTTTACAAATCCAATGAGTCTGCGATATAGATGTTTGAAAGGCAGTTCTAAGGTATTAACCGTTTTTATCTCGCCTTCATCTACTGTCCTTTAGTTATGGTATCAACCCGTCTACTGGTTAGATAAAAGAGACGTCCCGACAACCAGGTTGTGCTTTTATACGGTTACAAAGGCTACTTTTTAGTAGGTGTACACGGGTGCAGGGATCGAAGGAAGGCTGTGTGTGCATGCGCGGGGTCAAAGCCCTGCAGAACGTTACGCCAATGATCTGTAATTTTCAAGTTTTGGTTGTCTGCAGTAGTGAGACTGAGCATTCGACGTGGACCGTTTAAGTCTGACTATTTGGTGTACGAGAACTACTGATGCGCCTGTAAAATACCAAGGAATGCTGGATCGGACAGGACGAATGACGGTTTAAGTCGCTGTCATTAGTGTTCTGGGTGCTAAATGCGAACCCTGGCATCGTCACTCAAATTTGGCGATAGGATGCTCTGCTGTCAATAGGTTCGATACCACGCCGATCCTATTGGAGCCTCGTGCAGATGCCAA